AAATCTGTTCCGGTGGAAAAATACCTGAAAGTTACGTTCATTGTATGTGAGTCAAACTTTTCCACAATTCGCGATTTTTTATCATCAGGTATGTAGCGTGGGATGTCAGGAAGTCAGCGGTATTTGACGTTCGAGAGGACGGCACATGTCAGTTCTGAAATGTGCAGATATACGGACTGGTATTAATGAATCCACACAGTATACACAGCACACATGCGCACAGGTCGGGTGGAACAAGGGAGAAGGCCGGAGTGTGGTAACGACACACGTGTATTGACCGGAACCGAAACCGGAAGCGCGGGGGTGTGTACAGGGTCGGGTCAAGGTCAGTTAGGGGGTGTACAAGCGGGGTACTCTTCCCTGTCCAGGGCCGGTGGTGATTCGTCCGTGGTACCTGCAATGGGGGAAGAGAGAAAGGGAGGGGCACGTATAAGGTCATATTAGAGACGGGCAGCAGATACATTCGAGTTTCAAATGCGTTACAGGTAACGCATTCACAGTCGGCTGTGTTTATTGACCTGGAGATTTTGTTCACTTAAACAAATCGCCATAGTAAAGGATTTTCAATAATACAGGAGCATATACACTATAAACAGAAATTCTACACTATGAAGTGGCAAGTCTGAAAATGCCGTAGATTTCGAGAAATCAATCTCATTGTGCGAATAGCCAACGGCGTTTCAGACGGGCAACGAATGTGACGGGTGATTCGGGTTGTGCGCCAGAATTGGAAACCAGTTCACCGGGTAAACGTAATGTTGTACCGTACACTAGTTCGGCTGGTGAACAGTGAAGATCCTCATTAATAGTGGAGCGAATAGCAAGTAAAATGAGGGGTAAAGAAGAGGACCATGAAGATGGGTTCATTTAGGAAGTCAATGCAGCATTGAGGTATCGATGGAAATGCTCAGCGAGACCGTTGGAAAAGCGATGATACGCGGTAGTAGATGTGTGATGGAAACCGAATAGTGTAGAAAACTCACGGAAGAGATTACACTGAAATTGTGAACCGCGATCCGTAGCAACGGTGGAAGGGATGCCAAAATTATTCACCCAGTGCTGTAAAAATGAAAGGAAAACCGTTTCAGCTGAAGTATCCGAAATGGGTACAGCTACTGGCCAACGGGTAAAACGGTCGATCACGGTAAGAATATGCGGGAAACCGTATGATGGGGAAAGTGGGCCAACAATGTCGAGATGGACGTGTGTGAATCGAGCATCATGAACGGCAAATGAACCGATAGGTGAGTTTGTATGCCGAGTTACTTTACTGCGTTGACAGGCGATGCAGTGTTTGGTCCAGGATGTCAGGTCCTTATTCATGAAGGGCCACACAAAGCGTGCACTAATCAACTTCCTGGTTGCTCTGATTCCTGGATGAGAAAATATTTGAAAATGGTCGAAAACAACCCGTCGAAAGGGTTTGGGGACGACTGGGAGAGCTGAGCCTGCAGACATATCACAAAAAATGGTTCCGGATTGGAGGGTGTCTAAGAGACGTTTGTGTCGCACTTCGGCAGATAGATTGTAATCGGTCAGGAAATCTGCACCGATGATGGGTGTTTAGAGTCGGCCAAAAGGAAGATCCACTTGAACACACGTGGCAATCCAAGNAGTTGGGGCACTAATTCCGTTGACTGAGAGGGAAGTAAGCGTGTCTAAGAGACGTTAGTGTCGCACGTCGACAGATAGATTGTAATCGGTCAGGAAATCTGCACCGATGATGGGTGTTTAGAGTCGGCCAAAAGGAAGATCCACTTGAACACACGTGGCAATCCAAGGTCAAGGGTGAGGGAACGTTTGCTGTATGTAGCAGTGCTGGTACCGTTAGCAGCTTGTAACGAGAAAGAGGGAGAGTCGGGAAGTGGATTCTTACGTGGTAGCACACTAACTTCAGCTCCCGTATCTACGAGGAAACGTAGACCACTTGAACGATCGGTGATGTGGAACAGGCGACTCGTGCGAGGAGGGCCACAGTCGTCGCCGTTACTGACTGGCCGGGGTGTTTAAAGGGGCGTTGGAACGCGGCTTGAAGGAAAAAGGTGGTTGACACTTGCGTGCTTTTGGGCCATAAGATTAATGATACCAGCATTAAGAGGGACGGGCACGAGATAACGATCTGGATCGTGAACGCGGTCGATGCCTGTTGATCTCTAACCGTTGTAGGCGATCGGTCAAAGCATCAAACTTGGCTTGTAGGTGCGATATAGAAGCAAGAAGCGGGTCGGAATCTGTAGTGGGCGCAGGGCGGAAGACGGAGTTTATGGGGTTGCTGGGGTATGTTTCGTGTATCTCATCCGCCATTTGGGCTAACTGCTCCAAGCTGTGGTTATCAACGAAAGCGCTGATGACGTGGGACATGGAGGGAGGGAGTTTGTCGAGCCATAGTTGGGCCATGATTTCCACCGCTAGCTTACGGCCGCAGAGGAGACTGCGCATGTGGCGAAGCAGTTGTGATGGCGATCTGTCTCCAAGTTCATTAGTGGTGAGTAGATCCCGTAGCATTTGGTTTTCTGATTTCCCTGTCCTACTTATGACGGCCGCTCGAAGGGCGTCATACGGGTTTTCCTTGGGAATATCTTCCAATACATCTTCCACTTCCGGTGCAACATCACAAGGAAGATACTAGACAACATAGGAAAATTGCGTGGCTTGGGAAGTGATGTGTCGGGTAGTAAAAACGGCATCCACCTGGTGAAACCATACCCTGGGGTTACGTGGATTGTAGTCCGGTAAACGTATGCTAATCGCATTCTCGACTAAATCCACTGAATCGAAATGTGCCTCCATAATTACCGCGCAAAAGAAACAAAATTACGACGACGTGAAAGGAAAAGCTTTCAAAAAATATCTAGAAATACTCGGACTCAACAAATTTGTAGTAGTCTGGCTGCCCAATAAGTTGGTTTATTAGGAGTGTGTGACAAAGAAATAAAAATAATTACGCTTGGTTGGGTACACAAAAATAAAGAAGTCAGATGGAACAGACTCACTAACAATTGCTCTCCTTAAAGTCGTTCGTCGTTAGCCCAGGTCAGCGAATAAACAATAATCCAATTATGTTGGTCCAGAGGTCTTCTTCCGAAAAGTTCCCACATATAACAGATTCCGAAGATGGTCTGAAATGTTTTGGTACCAGAGTTAGTACATGAGACTCACGAATGACCGCCACAAGCGCGAGCGAAATCAGAAGAGAGAGTTGAAGTACGTGACCAGGCTTGTATTATATGAAATTGTACAAGTGGGCATTTTTTGTAGTTTTTGGTATTTAAACAAAAAACGATTATGCAATTGATGAAATACGTAGTGTTATAATGGAAGTAAAATAAAGGTACAAAACGCCACAGCCTCAACGTTAAAGGCTGGCCGACAATAATCGGGCAGTCCAGCGCTACCTACATATGCGCCTGTAATTTAGGGAACCAGTTACCCTTCCAAGAGCATATGTACGACACCAAGTTCCTGGATTTATTTTCAACCCGTTCATTTTGTAACAGTCCCATGTTCAACCATCCGTCTCAACCAATTAGCTCCCCATCTAACGATCACCCCTGTGCTGAACTGAATAGTTGCAAACGAGGAACTTATGGTAGAGATAGTTGCTTTTGTTCCATCCCGGTTTCTTTTGTGTAATGCCATTATTTGGACTCATAGTCTACCTTTTACTGTACGGATCTTCTCCACATTTGAGAAAGATTATTGACTTAGCCAAGTTCAAGGTTCCCATTACCCGAAATTCTGTAGACGCTTCGGATTTCACCGATGAGCCTGACGAGGGTGGAATTCTGCGGCCAAATGCATATACCGATCAAATGCCGCACTACCTGTAAAACATTCCGGCGCCATGAAAGCCCCGTACACAGTGGACACGTTTGCGCTTTCGGCATCGATCTTGGAATCATTACTTAAGGGGGGTCAAATAGCTCAATTTGGTGGCACAATTTCGAGAGCCCCGTGCCAAAGGAGGATGACTTCCTTTGGCAAACAGTCATGATATTGCATTTTAGAGGAACCCAAATAGTTGTATCAGCACACTATCAATGGAAAGACCCAAGTAGTGACACTTCAGAGCCAAGCGAATAAGCTCAAGCAAAAAGCGGTCGATCAAACAAACCGGTATGCACAGACCCCTAGGTATCAAATCACACCCGATTCTTATGCGACAAGTCTGTTAATAACTTGTGTCTTTCTGGTTGTAGTTCAGCCCTGACTGTGGCTATTTATAAGGGAAAATGAGGGACTGGCAGCAGACACGCTACCCCCGTTCAACGAAATGTTACCAGATCTGTTAGAGTAAGTGACCTTTTGGACTACTAGGAAGTACCTGTTATTTTATCACACACAGAATGAACGCATCAAATGTCGATCTTACCGGACAAATTTGCCGTGGGGCAGTGGGGCTGTAACAAACCTAGTAGGTATGGGTGCCGGGATGGGCATTGTCTATTTCAGCATTTCAAGAGCGTCGAGTCGTGCTCACCCTGGTTGGCTCCCAANCTCCCAAAAATACGGCTTGCGAGAATCCGATACGCTGCCTGAGGGCTGTCCCGAGGGGCGCCTTCTTTGATGCACAATTTGAATACATTCCTCCAGTCTGTCCACATGCTATACGGCGTTCCACAGGGCTCATTTTGGGATTGTATACTAATCTCGCCATTCAAAGTTGACTTACCATGGAATACAAAATTCTTAATAAAATATTTGGTAATGCAAGAATTCGTCGTCAGATCCGCACAAGCTGCGAATTGGTTGTCATCCAAGAAGGCCTCGCTATCCTAAGTCAGCCGCCCAAGGCAAAGTCTTCTACCCATTCTGAAAAAGTTCATGGTAGTCTCCATCCCTCGAGCAACTACCTTCCCATACACACTACATCCACATGAGTTGGGATGCTGTAATAATGAAACCCATCTGAGGAGTGTCATACAGAGTGATCTATAGCCTGTCGTGGATTATGTCAGATCTATAGATGTAGCGTGTCAAAAACTTGGCTCCCATAAATGACTTGTGGAACAGTTTAGGTAGCCAATATTTACACCTAGTTTATGAATTATTTGGAGGAGGCAGTGAAAGTGTAGCGAATTCCGCCTCAAAAAGGTCAGAAGACGTTGTAACAAATACGGAGAAAATCAAATCAAATTCTTTCGGAGTATGTTCAACCTGCCGTTAGAGTAAATTATGCCAGGGTTAGAAATGTCCGCACAGTACTCTTCACATCTCACGAAGGGGTTATTCTCACACACCAGATCCCAAGCCGAGGGAGTCGTATATAGCGACTATTACTCAAATTGTCAAGAACCAAACATCGTAATAATAATCTCAAATTGGAACAGCAATCAAGTCGTTTGAAGTTTTGGAGCATTTTTTCTGTTCATTTGCAGTCTGTAGGGCTGACGGCCCCACTGGACGATGTTTACTCTCCAATCGTGTTACCTGAGCCCGAAGATCATCTTTAGGCGCTCAAAATGACTGTAAGTCTACTTCCCATCTGGTGGCTATGCTTGCATCAAGGGTTGTGTCAAGCGTTGTCCATAGTTGAAGTTTACACAAAAATGCAGGAAATAAACATATCGCCACCGTCATGTGCAATGGAGGACGATAGTATCATGTCTCAAAGACGAACACCCGTCAACAGGGACAATAATGTGAAGCTCCAATGGAGCCCTTGGTATAGTCCCTCAAAACGCAGAAAGCTGACTAGATGACGGATTCTGCAGCACTCTTTGGTTGGCGTACTTGGCCCTTAGACAACAAAAATAACCTAAGCAGACGTAATCACTAATCTTAAAGTTGCTGAAAATTCTTCGACAGCCTACAACTAAACGAAGTTGGTTTTGAAGTAAGACGCAACCGAATCCAGCTAGATATCCCGTTTATAATTCGGTTGAGTCTCCTGCCGAGGCCAAATACCTTAGAAACCTGTCCAAGGTCTCTTCAGTTGAAAATAAGGTTTGAAGGAAGTCAGGACTGCACCTACCTGATGATTTCCAAGAAGGGCGAAACCAGTTATGGGTTGTCGAAGATTTTTCAGCAACCTTATGAGGAGTTTATCACGTCTATACATGATATCTCGAAATCGTAACCAACGAAAAAAGATGCGGCCTGGTGCATCACATCCGTTTGCTTAAAAACATCACACTTGAGAGATTGGGTCGGGCTCCCGGTGAGTCTTCCTCTAAAACCAAACTGACATACAAATGAGTGTACTTGTCGGAACCCAAGCAGTGAATTAATTGGTTCTTGTGTCATCCCGGGAACGGTAAAAAATCCTCCACATTAGTTTTCTTAATCCTTCTCTCCACTTGGTTTAGTGCAAGAATTCTTTCTTACAGAATTCCTGCAAATTTGGTGCACGTATAAACATTTATTCCAGCCAGTGTTTTGAAATCCAACACCAAATTCATTAGGCCGATGGTTGTATCAAGGTAAGCATCGACAGAGTGATTAAACCCTCAACCTTTATTCTGCAATCTGGATTAGGGTCACAAGTCCAGCTTATTTTCGTAATGGTGTCTAAATATATGCGACGCAGCACAGCGTCACCTTATAAGTGCCGCTTTTACCCTGGTCATCGGTTGAACAACTGGACTGAAGCTTTACAATTTTCACCGCCAATCCATTGTCTGACTGCATCAACCTTGAAGGTTGGCTTCATTCGGAACAAGGCAAAATATGACATTTGATTATCATTTTCCAGCAGAATCCCGAAAAAAAGGGATGCACTCAAAATGTTGTAAGTGCTCAGGTCATTTATAAAACACCACCGTGTCGATACTCATTGAGACAGACCAAGTTTCGCGTAGGAGAGTTCGTGAATATAAAAGTTTCCTCTCAACCCGGTAAACGTTATCCACCTTATAATGGTACTTGGCAATTTGTTCACTACACGTAGCCTTGAAGTACCTATAGAACAAAATATCACTACCCAAGTTCAGTTCTAGCTTCGCTGAGACTCCACCTTAAATCAGGCAAAACCTTCTGATTAGGAAGAGTGGAGGTGTCTCTGCATGGTGTTCCTTAGGGGGAAGCAGTATGATATGAGTTGTCGATTTCCAGATTTGCATTGGTCTGGCAGAATATGATGTAAATTGGATAAATATAGGCCTAAAGGCAAGCTTGTTACAGTTTTTATTTCTCCAATGCAGATCTCCTCATGCTACCAACAATATCAACATGTATCGCCGCAGGATACAGAATACAGGTGATTTGCTGCTATAGCACTTTGAAGTGACAAAGCCATGAAGAGGGTTAAAACACGTCATGGAATTCAACAGCCTTTAAAGTTGAAATAAACCCGAACACTTCCCATGCGTCATTATTATGTGATTTCGCTATTGGTTCCCAATAAAGGTGAAACAGGTTTATAAAGGTTGCCATAGAGTGGCTTCAATTACAGGGCGAAATCTAGATTGAAATTATGTTGTAAGGAATGCTTGAAGTCCTTCACCTTAGGAGTAACTTGCACTGCATTTGTCATACTTCGAGAATGTCCAGTTGAACTGCACATCCCCAAGACTCGATACCACCTTGTCTGTCGTGTCTTATTTGCTTGGCTACTGATGGTTTGTTAGTAGCGAGTTTCACTTTCTCCACCCGTTTTCTCAGACAGCGTCTATTGGATATAATAAATCATCTGGATCTTTACATTGAGGGTAGAGCAGTTTATACCATACAGTCGGCTCCCATGCCCGGGCGCAAAGATATCCATTTGAACCCAAGAGTCCCAGAGAATTGAGTGAAATATTGCGAATATGGAGTGCTCAATCACCCTTGGAAGTGAGTGGACGGCTGGTACGGAATGGCACGTGTGAAGCCAAAGAAATCAGGAAAGTTTCCCATAGGGGGTTGAACATGTCATCCGAAACTATTTTGCAATCCTCTCGTTTATAAAACGTCTTTGCGTTTCTGATGTTTTTTTCACTTTTGTACTTAAAGACAATCAAACATTTGGAATACGAAAGCCCAACGATCTACTGCTAGTCAATCAGTTAACATAAAACGAGTACGCACTTTACAATAGTGTCCTTTGAGGAAAGGAACAAATAGAATATGCGGGTAAATAATACAGAATGATTGCATGTGAAGTAAACAGCAGTTGGCAATGTAGAAATGACGATATTCATTCTTCTAACGTTAGAAAGTCAGGCGTTCACTGGATGGCACTGGCTTCATCTGGGTTTCAGTTCGTATCTAGCGGGCGTTCGTAACAGGAGAACGTTTCACCTGAAACGAATGAAAATACGGTTACAAAATATAGGTCTCATTTTCCATCAATTTGTTCAATCGATCTTGACCATCATTGCATTAGATCAGCTAGTTGCTTCGATAAACTCAATCACCAACGAGGGTTAAAATCTGACAAAAACTGACTGTTATCCAAGTGTCAAGTATTCTGAGTAGTTAGTGATCTCATGTCGAGTGATACGCAATTACAGAAGTCGCAATAACAGAAGTCGTTGAATAACTAACTAAACAATGGCAAAATGGCGGTGTACTTAATTGCAACGTTGGAGATCTAACAAGGACTGTCCCTCTTACTTTTGTGTCTGCCTGTCTGCAGTCAGCTTTTACACGCTTAGAAACTCATGTCAGGTAAAGGTAATCGGACACTGATGATGGTGTTATCAGATGTCAATGAGTCAAGTTGCGCGATATTCCGTCCTTACTAGGGCTCGTTTGGTGGACGTCGGCTGATATGTCAAGTGATTTTCCGGTAAATATTTCTGGACTGCTGACCCAAAGATCATATTTTACTGGTCAGTTTGTTTATTGGATCGATGTGATTTCGAAGATATGGTTTATGTGATGTACGAATCTGTTTCCAGTCCATGAG